ACTGTCACGAATAACGGTTAGCAAACATGCCATTTGGTTTTCGTTGTTCTTCTAGACGTCAGCTTCTAAACAGTTGAGGTAAATATCAAGTAGAAGTTAGAGTAACTTTCAGACGGTATGAAGTACTGGCAGGCGTGCATATCCGAAGCGTCTTGTTCGTCGTCGAATGACTCCTATGCATCGGTTAAGAGGCCTTCCGACATCGAGGCGACTGCCTACGCTTTGCTGACTTACGTGTTGCGCAACGACAGCGCCTCGGCATTCCCCATTGTCCGGTACTTGGTGAGCCAGCAGAACGCTCACGGTGGCTTTGCCAGCACTCAGGTAAGTTAAAAAACTATGATGTGGAAGTTCTGCTTATTAAATGCCCTTCCACTTTAAGGATACCGTCGTTGCGTTAATGGCATTTGCCGCATACGCCGCGAAAACCTATACGTCTGACATCGACATGAAGGTGGTAATTCGCAATGGCGACCAGAAATTTACGCTCGACGTAACTCCGGAGAACTCGATCGTTCTTCAGTCTGCTGAGGTTTGAACTCTTGTTGGACTCTTGTTACTTGCGAGCTGTCAGGTTGTAAAGGCGGTAGAATCAAACAGATTCTTTGACGAACGATTTCACATCGTAGTCTTCTTTCTACAGATTTTTTATTAAGCCTTATCTTTTGTAATTTTAATACTTTTATTTGACGAGCTCTACAACTTTTGAAGCATAAACACTCAAGATGTTTTCCATTGTGAGTCGCTTTTCTCAGATCGAGAGATGACAATTGCGATGTTACCAAAACACGGTATGGCATCTTCTCTTCGTAAGGGCACATTGCGGGTCCTGAGTGACAGGTCGAGAGTAGGATGTTTCATTGAGTACCAGGAACATGACCATTCATAGCTATATCCTAAGGTACGTTTGTTCGCATCCTGAAGAGAAATTGAAGACCTTGATATGGATGGGTTGATTTTTTTGGCAACTTATGGAGTACACGCAATAACAGTTATTACGTGCGGTTATTATTCTAAAGAAACAGTATAAAACGCGAAAAAGTATATTTTGCCTAATGCAAACTGTGTCCTGTATGTGCTTCCCAATACGACTATCTGCACATGAACAAAAGATCTGGAGCCAACTGCTGTTTTGAGTGTGGGTCAACAATTCTGAACTGTACATGGAAGAGCTACAGTCATCAAATTCAAGTGAAAAGCAGATTTAAAGCAGGATAATAATGTACCTTTGCATATTTTGTTGCATATTTTCTCAGAGAATTTTATTAAGACTAGAAAAGTCATGATTTAAAGTACGAAAATAAACGTTCAACATTATTTGTGATGTGAAATGTAATATATGACTTAATATGCTTTGAATGTGCATCTGTTTTCTTCCTTTGTCAGCAGCCTTAAGTTTCAGGTGCGGTATACTGCTGTTCAACTTCATGATATTTTTTTATTATACATCTGAGTTATTTGCAAAACATTTATTGTTTGCAAACCAACGTGTTATCCCTACAGGTTGCACTTATTATTTATTGTACCCATTCTTCGTTCGTAGCATAACTCAAACTTCAGTTTAACAAGAGCAATAATATTATTACAGAAAATTGTTTCGTTTTATCCAAAGTCCGTCAGATTTGTGCCAAGTAAGCACATAACATCATATGATAATGAGTACCTATCTTCCCCAGTCCATATTTCGCATTCATGTTACGTATATTATTGCAGAGAAATATTTTCTGCTTATTACGCTGCATCATGAAAAGTAAATCAGCTTTAGGCTGGCCAAAAGAAAGCTGGCAGGTCCAGTTGAAACCTGGTCCCACTGTTTAGGATTATTTGTTCTGTATCAGGTATAATATGATACAGTGTCAAGCTGTCTCCAACTTGTATGCCATACGCTATCTAAATCTTTTCGCACGGTGCTTGTACGTTTAAAACACATTTCAGCTGAACGGCCTTGAGGAACCGATCGAGGTAAACGCTTATGGACACGGTGTGGCGTTTGCCCAAATCAGCTGGCATTACAACGTGAAGACGAGCGACGACCAGAAACCGTTCGTCTGCGAGCAGCGCGTTTACCAGAGCTCAGCTAGCGAGATTTTGCTCGCTTTATGTTGCAAGTACGTCGCAGGATGCCATGCCTATTGTTTCGTGTAACTCCTTGTGTTTCACAGCTATAATATGGAAGGCAAAAGCAACATGGCTGTCCTGGAGTTGGACGCCCCAT